TAAATTATATTATTTAGTTAGTTTTCTTTATTGTTAGTCTTTTAATTCAATTTCCGTCCATTTCAGTTCTTAGTGTTTAATAAGATCATTTTCATTATTTTGAGTCATTTTAAGTGTGTTTCGAGTTATTAGAGTTTTTAGCCTAGTTTTGTATCCTTGAGTCTTGTTTAATATTTTTAAATTAATTTAGGATAGATTAGCAATCCCTCCTAATCCCCGGCCTAGAACGATACCCTACTTACATCTATACTACAATTGTCAAAAAGAGGGTTTAATTTGTGTGTCAAGAAATTTTCACATCAAATTTTGGCGCCGTTGCCGGGGATTAGCAACTTTGCTAATCCTTTTATTTTTGTTTTTGTTTATGTTTATATTGGTGTTTGTGTATTTTACTTTTGATATTTGATTTATTTTTCTTTCTTTGATTTTAGGTTCAAATGGAGCCGAGGGAAATTTAAAGGAAAGATGCGTCCGGCTAAAGACGTTCAAGCGCTTCTTGGGAGGCAACCCAAGCATTCAACGAAGGGAGACTTTGGAATCACTAACCCAATCAACTTTGCATTCTTCCACCCTTATCTTTACTGCTTTCATTTTGTTTTGTTTAGTTAGTTGTGTTATTTGGTTGATTTCTGTGAGTTTGTGTTTGTGTTATTTAGTTTAAATGTGGGGGAAGGTTAACCAAAGTCTCTTTACATTAATTTACATTTAAAAAGAAAAAAAAAAAGATAAAATTTAAAATTAATGATAAAAAAAAAATACATAAAAAAAAAATACATAAAAAAAAAAAAAAAAAATACAAATATTTTACAATGATGTAAACTAATAGTATTCATTGGTCGGGTGGTGCTTCAGTAGTAGGCGGGGCTTCAGCAGTCGGCGGGGCCACAGAAGGAGGAGGCAGCAGAGGTTGATCAGTTGGAGCTTCACTACGCGGTGCCGCTCCAGAAGACGAAGGCAGATGCGGTTGGAACAAACCCACAAACCTCCGATGATCAAGTAAAATTTGACCATCGGTGTCCTGCATCTGGTCAATCTTTCTCTTCATGCTGGTGGCATAATTGTGTGCAAGCTTGTGCAATTGTTTATTTTCATGCTTGAGTCCTCTAATCTCCTCTTTGAGACTCTGTATTTCAGCCACCAACGATTCAACGTGACGGGTTCGAGCAAATAGGCGTTGGGCCATGTTGGACACGGAACCGGCACACTGCACGCTAAGAGCCAGAGACTCCTTAACCGCCAATTCATCAGACCGTCTAGCGAGCAGTCTGTTATCTCTTGGGGTGACAAGGTTCCGGGCCACCACCGCAGCAGTCATGTCATTTTTCATAACCGAATCCCCCATGGTAAGAGGACCGGTAGGGGATATGAAGGATGGGCGCCATATATTGTCTGGTGAAGGCGGAGCTGCCTCTTCACCAATGTTCAAGTCAAAACGACGATCGGAAGGGCCAGACATTTTTCAGAGGTGGTGAAGAAAGAAGAGAGTCGGAATGATCAAGATTAAACAAGTGCAAGAAGGGAGTGTTTACAGGAGGGTGCTCAAGTGTGTTGTGGAACAAGCTTAACGCCTCTATAAAAAGAAGAAATCGGAGAGGCGCTCCTCAGAGAAGCGTCCTCTCGCAAATCGAAGAGTCGTCGGGGCTCCTTTCTCAAAAGCTGGATTCTTTTCTCAAAAGAGGCGTTTCATTTCTTAAAGGCTGGGCTTGCTCAGAAACCACGAGCCGAACCCCGGATTTCAAAAGATTAATTTGTCCAGACGTGTCGTCACTTGTCACACGTAAATTGCTTTGCGAAATTCTCGGGCAGTTTGTCGAAGCACCAATTCAGAAATCGAAGAGGGAAATTCAACAGTCAAAGACACGCTAGCTTTCTCAAAAGCTGGGCTTCAACCCACGGGCAAATCTTCTTTTCCAGATTTATCCGCACGTGTCACATGCTACCTCTACAATCGACGTTGCTCAGAGCTCGAAGCGCCGATTCCAGATATCAATGAGGAATCTGCTTTGCGGAAATTACGGGCAGCTTTGTCAGAAAGCGCGTAATTTGTACTATTCATCCATCCACCGGCTGCCGACAATGAGTGAGAGAATAGTTTCGGTTGTGAAGAAAAGTTCCATAAGTATCTACCTTCGCCTTCCACAGCAAAGACACAACCTCTCAGCACTTCTTCATCTCCGAAAATGCATTCCCAAAGAATCCTCCTAAGTTACTCTGTGTTCCTCATTCCTTGGGATACTCCTGCGAACAACCCATTCAAAGCAAAAGTATTTCATATCATGAAGGTTGAAAGCAAGAGTATCTCATATCATGCTTTCTCCCTGTCCTTTCTCCAGCCAGCACCTGCTCTCGAGTACTCATCATCTTATGTTTCCGCTTCGTCTCTCACGTATAAGGGAAGTGAAGATGATTCCTCGAAGCATGTGGAGACAACGTGCTGATTCATCCTCAACTAGGGACAAGGAGAAAGAGAGCAAGAGGTGGGCACTTGGAAAGATTGAAGAAAGAAACAGACCAACACCTCTCCCTCGTGCCTGCCCGCCATGCAGAGGAAACAAGCAGAGAAGAATGCAGCTTGCACAATCATCCCAGCAGAAGGAGTCTGAGATGAAGAACTAGAGAAGCTGCCACATCTGCTTGGAGAACAAATAAGGAACTGCAACATCACCAAAGAGCAAAGCTCCGCCGTACAATATCATCAAATAGTAAAAAGCTAAGTGTCACCCCGTTCAAGAGGAAAGCTGTGGAAAGTCAACAAGCACGACCAATGATTACTTATTAGTTTTATTCATTATCTTTTATCGTAATTTTCAATTTTTCGTTTGCAATTTTTTTTTAATTAATTTTCTTGCGTACTTAACTGAATTTTTCCTTTTCTTTGCAGGAACTTTTGGTTATTTCCACCCTTGAAGTTGATTGCAGAATTTTAGCTTGGGGGTCATCGCTTGATTTTACTGCAAATTAGGGAAGTTTTCAGTCCAATTGTTTTTATTTTGTTTCTTATTATTTATTTATTATTTTATTTTTATTTGCATTATAGTGTTTTCTGACATTTGGGGACAATGTCAAGTTTAAGTGTGGGGGTAGAAATCTCCAGAATTTCATTTGTCTCTGTGTTGTGTTTGTTTTTTTTGTGTTCTTAATTAGTTTTGTTTTCTTTTAAAAAAAAATTTAAATTAAAAAAATTTCGGAAAATTTAAAAATCCAAAAATATTGTCTTGTTTCCCTTATTGTTTTGAATTAGATTTTTGTTAGTTTCCCGACCCAATGATATAATTGGATCAAATTTGAACCATGATCATCAAGAACTTAGTTAACATGTGTTTTGTGAAATTCCTAATTCTCTTGTTAGTTTTGTACATGTTTGACCATCTTTGAAAAAACCAAATGCACATAGCCTTGTTAATGTGAAACTAAAGCATGACTTAAAGCTTTATATGTGAATTTAGTGACCATATACATCCTATGTGAGTTTTTGAGCCTATTGAAAGTGTGTGCATTTTTCATACACTCCTATTCTTTCATGTGTGATGAACTTATGTGAGATACATCTCTAGAACTTGCATAACGATCTTTCGAAATGTTTGTCATCGATTGCATGAACTTGGAAATGATAGAGGCATTAGGTTTACCACTATGGCCCAAATAACTATGTTTCCCAAAGAAAAATGATATCATTAGATTGCCAATTTGAGCCGTGTATGTTGAGCCTTTTATTTCTTATCACCAGATATGTCTACCCTTATACCTGAAACATTTTTCCTTACCCTTTCCAAGCGAGCAATGCGAGATTGTCTTATGAGAAACGTTTGTGAAGTATTGTGAAGATGTTTGGGCAAAAGAATATGTGTGGGGGTATTTCATGTTTGTATTAAAAAAAAAAAAAAAAAAAAAAAAAAAAAGAGAAAAGAAAAAGAAAAAGAAAGATTGTACACAAAGAAAATAAAAAGTTTTTCAAGTTTCAGTTAAGGGTGTGGTTGGAGGTGTTAGAAGAATCGTTGGAGAGCTTGAGTTTTTATAAATCTAAAGAAAAGAATTGCTTGCAATGTAGCTTGGAACTTGTGTTTTCCTATTCTTTCGTTTCAATAACCCTATCCCTAAGCCTCATTACATCCAATAAAGGTCCTCTTGATTTAAGTTTTGCAATTATGACTGTGGAGAAGTGATCTTTATGCAAGCTTATGGTAGAAATTTCACATTTGATTCTTTGAGCGAAACACATTAAAACTAAACACATGTGTGATTGAGTGCATATCCCGTGAGAAGGTTGCTAGTTTGCATATGATGATTTTAAAAATAAAAACTTGAAATTGCATTAGCATGGCTATCTCACACACTACACTTCAAGGATGATTTACAGATTACTGCTAATATTTGAATTAGGAATTTGAACTTGGATTAACTTGTTTGGTGCTAGCTATGGTTCTTGATGATTTGTTTTCTTGAATGAAATTCTATGAGGGTCACATAGAGGGAAGCTAATGTTTTTCATGTTAGTACTTTTTCATGTTTTCTTTGTTTGCTCGAGGACTAGCAAAAGTTAAGTGTGGGGGTATTTGATCGGATCATATTTATATATATTTTTACTTCGAATTCACTCGTCTTTTCTTGGTTAGTTCCTTATATTTTTGAGCTATTTACGTTATTTTTGTGTTTATAGGATCTGTTATGCAATATTACCTTTTATTGTCACATGATAATATTAATTTACATTTTATAAACAAGGTTTGTCCCTCTCTATGTCTATATGTTGAAAGACAAGCAAAAAAATAATAATAAAAAGAAGCTGCCCAAGACAGCTAAGGGGAGAATTGAAAGAGGAATCCAAGGAGGGCAGCGGGAGATTAGGCAGACAAAGAAAACCTTTGCAGCTGGCGAGAGAAAGAGGAAATGAGAAGACTGCGACAAAGGGAATCCAAAGAAGAAAGCAGGATAATTAGAGGGGAGGAAATAAAAGGAAATCTGAGGTATGTAGAGAGGGGGGTCTTGGAGCGGAGAAGGGAGCTGCCCTTTGGGCAGCTCGCAGAAGGACGAAGAAAAGAGAATAGGGGAGAGATAGGAGGGACTGTCAGCGAGACAGTCAGAGGAAGGAACGGGGCGCAAAGGGTCAGGAGGAAATGTGAGGTACGGGCTGCCCTTGGCAGCTGAGACTGACGTAAGGAGGAGAGAAAGGCTGCCATTTGGCAGCTTGAGCGAGGGAGTCAGGAGGGAGAGTGAGATAGGCGCTGCATTTGGCAGCTTGAGAGAGAAGGCACGGAAAGAAAGAAAAATAGAGAGAGGGAGAGAAAGAGGAGAGAACTGACAGGGGAGTGCAAAGTGAGGCGCGGACAGAGGAGAAAAGAAAAGCTGCCTTTGCAGCTGAGCAGCGCACGGGATTGGAGGAGAGGCAGGTCAGAGGTCAGCACGTACTGACAGCTGAAAGAAAAGAAGGTGAGCAAGGGGAGAAAGGTGAGCACGGGGAAAGACAGCGGGGAGAGTCCAGGGGGGGCAGCAGTAGCACAGAAGCAGAGGCTTCACTCTCTTTCGGTTAAATCTTTCCAAACTTTTATTTTATTTTTGTTTTAATAATGTGTAACTAAATTTAATTTGGCTAGAGGTTAATTCAAAGCCATGAATATATTTGTAATATGAATTGATTACCTTCAGTTGTGATTTCTGAGTTGTGATTTAATTTGCTTAACTGCTTGATTGATAACTTATTTGTGTATGTTGGTTGAGAGTGCACGCTTAATTTACATGCATGAATTTGATGCTAGAATATAAGTGAATTTCACCTAATCGTTATGAACTTATTTTCACAAGTAGTAAAGGTTGCTAGTCACAATCACGTTAAGTAAATTCTTGGCAAGAGTATCATGCTTTTCATAGTTACGAATGCCTCGTCAATGCTTATAGTTTTCACAAAGTTTAATGATCTTTGATTGTATCGCTATTGTGCTTTTCACGTAGGGGACTTTTGAAGAATGTTTTGAATTGTTGTATGCGTTTTTCCGTCCAATTCAATAACTTAAGGAAAACTTGAAGATTAAAAAAGTGCTGTTCACGGTTAATCTGGAGTATTGAAATTCACAATTTATTAAAAGAACAACTGGAAATCATTTTGCATGCAAGTATAACATGTGTGGAGAAGAACCCTCTAGCTAGTCTGTCATTTATCATTTTACCTTAATTTTATGTTTTTGTCAATTCTGTAATTTAATTAAGTTTAATTTACTTTTCATCAAAACCAAACACCCATCCATTATTAAATTATATTATTTAGTTAGTTTTCTTTATTGTTAGTCTTTTAATTCAATTTCCGTCCATTTCAGTTCTTAGTGTTTAATAAGATCATTTTCATTATTTTGAGTCATTTTAAGTGTGTTTCGAGTTATTAGAGTTTTTAGCCTAGTTTTGTATCCTTGAGTCTTGTTTAATATTTTTAAATTAATTTAGGATAGATTAGCAATCCCTCCTAATCCCCGGCCTAGAACGATACCCTACTTACATCTATACTACAATTGTCAAAAAGAGGGTTTAATTTGTGTGTCAAGAAATTTTCACATCAGAAAACGTGAAAGAATATAGTAGAGAGAATTTGTTTTTAAACCTGCCGAGAGGAGACTTCGGCCATGTCTTCTGGTTCATTGCTCGAACCTAGAGAGCTTAATAGTCGAGCCCAGTGTTTTAGACTGCTTCTCAATTCATGTGGCTGATGAAGGCTATCTACATTCGACGGCCACTGAGGTGGCCAGGAAATATAGATAACATCCTTCAGCGCATAAATTTTTTGGTGAAATGAATAATTGGGCACCTAACATGTAATATTTGTTTCGGTTCAGACTCGTTATAGTAAAGTTAACAGGAGAAAGTGATCGAGTCTTACAAAAGCTGAACTCACCTCTTGAGGGGGAATGCCGAGGTCTTGATCTTGTGGGTGAATTGGTGTTTCTGTCGTCGCTTCAGGCTCAATTTGAGGCCTTTCTCCACGATCGGCTACAGGAGGATCGACTTGGTTAGTCTCTTCAACCACAGGGGGAGGCTTAAAGGAAGAAGGTTCGGTTGGTCGAGGGCGACTCACCAACGAAATCTCGTCACTCTCATCATCCTGAAACAAAAGAGCTCTTAATACTTTTGAATTTAATGAGAAAAGGGAGTTACCAACAGCATAATCATACCTCTTCTAAGATGATCGCTGATTGTTTTGGATTCTCGGGGAGATTTTTACCGATCGAAGAGGCTGCCTCATCCAGGACTGGTATTACAGTCGGCCCTAGAGCTGCAGGTTTTTCGACTAGCGGTACAGCAACTGGTTTGACCACGACCTCGGGAACCTCAAGGGCCATGTGAACTTGTGGTGCTGGGCTAGTTCGAGCTGGCTGTTTCTCCATTAAGGCCTGGACAACTGGAGTAGGAGGATAGGCACTAGGAACGATCGCTCTGGTGGTCTGGCTGGAAATAACGTGAATCTCCTGTGCTCATTTCTTCGCCAATTTCTTGACGTGTTTTGTGGGACAAGAGGCTTCACCTGCCATCTTGGTGTTCGGGCGAGGCCGTTTGCTCAGTGTGTTTTGCACGACGGTTTTTTATTTCTTGGAAGAAAGGGCCAATTTTTTCCTGGCCGCAGTCGCGACGATCACGTCTACCTGTTTCAATACTCGACCGCCTAAGAAAGCGAAATCTAGTTAGTAAAATCGATTAAGTGTTTGAAAAATAAAAGTAGAGATAGTCGTATACCTTAGGGTGTCTCTTTGGATTGAGAGGCATGAGCTTTTTTGGGTCGGTTGCCAAAAATTTTGTTGACCACGTTTTCGACCGAAGCGCCAAAAAATTCATGGGTATATTTTTCCCACCAGTCGCTGAAGGTGTCAGTGCTGAGAGATTCAGGAACAGTTGCTCGAAGCTGGATTTTTTTGCACCGTTCTTGAAACTCCTTCTGGTGTTTCTGCACTCCTTTTCTGAGGAACCAGAGAGGTGTCCTCAGGTTAGAAGAGAGCGGGAAGTAAGTAGAGGCACCGGGCAACCTTGGAGGTAGCCAAGCTGTCGGGCAGCAAAATGGGGGTGGTAGACTTCCCTGCTTGCTTGGTGAGCATCGTAACCAAGGGGAAGGTCGCAAGTTAACACGAACGACCCCCAGTTTTGACTAAGACCAACATATTCACTTTCACTCCAGGTTGATGTGGGAATCCTGATGGAGTGGGGGTACTCTTGACGGCGGCATATTAAAAATTCATTTTCGAAAAGGACATCTAGGCCAAAGAAGTGTTTGAAGACTTCTTCAGCTCGGTGAGGAGGCGTTGATCAAAAAGCCAACTGACGGCCGAGCGCTGCAGTGGATTGAAAGTTGAGGATTTTTGGCTGAAATGTTGAAAAATAGACCTGCAGCCAGAGTTAGAATACCCAAAGAGGTCCGTTCTGGTACGGGTCGATCTTGTTGATGGACGTTTGAGCCAAGCAGCGCAGAAGGTTGGCGATGATAGCTGGACTGAGCGCCAGAGAGTGACCACTAGCCAAGGCTTCAGCTATCGGCATATTTTTAACCAAGCACTTATTTGACTTGGTACAACAGATAAACTTGTTGTACCAGTAAAATAAGAAAGCCTCGTGTTCTCCCTTCCGTAGACTCGCCTCACCTCGACCAGCCAAATGAAGGATGAGGGTGTTGTAGTTGAGAAAATTTTTATGCAACTTCTGAACTTCCTCCTTTAAAGGTTCTTGACTTTTTTGGCTCAACGTCTCAACGGCCCGTTCGTCGAATAGTACCTTAAGGTCGAGGTTCGACGAGCATCCAATAAGGGCATCATCTATTGGAATGCCAGAAAGATAAGTCCCGAGGATAGCGTAGATGTCGAGGATGGTGGGGGTGATAGGGCCGAAGGGAAGGATCATGGTGTTAGTGGTCGAGCACCAGAGGCTTAGAGCTGCCATAAGGAGTTCTTTATCCATGGCAATCTCCATGGTCGAAAGTTTAATGGAGTCGTGCATGCCAAGAGCCTACTATTCTTTACCAAAGAATTTTTCCATCTGTACGACCCAGGCTGCCCAGTTTGCGTTGGTCGAAGGCCAGGCTCCTTGAGGCCTTAATAGGCACCATTTTGACCAATCAAATCCTTGCAGCAAATGTGCCAGGCAGTGTTCTTTGAAGAGGTTGGTGATGGACGATGGCACTGCATCTTTAAATAGTGGTCCCAGGATTTGATGAGTATTGTTTACATCACTCTCGAATAGCATAGTCTTGACAGCGCTCCAATCGATGAAGTCCTTCCACTTGCTACACTCGTTAGAGAGCTAGGAGATGAATGAGGCCATTAATGAAGGCTTGAGGATTTCTGGGTTAAGAGCTTGAGATTTTTTGAGATTTTGGATTTTAGGTTTTTGGGATTTTAAGAGAAAAATGGCGAGGAGGTCTCAAGGATTTTGGAAAGCATAAAGTACGAATGGAAAGGGTTCAGGTATATATAGGCATTTTGGAAGGAAGGTTAAACGTTTGATTTTCAAAGTTGGAGGAAGGATCAAGCGGGAAAGTTGTTAATCATTGTGGATATTCAGATAATCTAGTTGAAAAGACCAAGGTTTTCGCGGTTTGAGGATGCACGATTGCGTGTTGCAGCAGATTTAATGTAGAAGAGACATTTTAGCTGTCGCATATTTTCGAGGGTCATGATTAAAGGCTGTTAGGATAACCAAAGGATCGACATGTGGTAGGACGGTTGGGAGAATCGAGATCGTGAGATCATGTCTCTTAAGTACGCGTGGTGGTATTTCTCGAGGGGTTTAATGTTTGTTTTAGGTCAGTTTCGCTTCTTTAAGGCCGAGGCTCTACCAAGGAATGTAGATCAACCTCAGAAGTGAAAGGGCAATGGTTGGGCCCAAATTACTGGTTTGGGCTGAGTTTAGAATTGTTCTCGGCCCAGAGGCCTTGCTTAGGAGCACTAGGGGTCATCTAGTTTGTGGGCCGCATAACCAAGGCCGGTCGTGTCCCACTGGGAATCCATGGGATGCAGGTGAGTCCTATTGCGAGATGGACGGATGTGGTAGTTGAATCCTGATACAAGAATGAGTTTCGGCAGGATAAGGATGCTGGCGTTTGGGATTGAATGTGGCCTGATAAGGGGTTGAGTTCAAAGTCCTAATAGAAGTAGGATTGGCCGAGATAAGATTGGATCGGGGGAAGGAGTCCTAATCTGAGTATGGTTTTGATTCGATCAGAAGCAGGCTAGCTACTATAAATAGAGGAAGGAGTGCATCATTCAAGGCCCATTCCAATTCAACACACAAACTGCCCTGCGTAGACCCTTGCTATACGCGAAACCTCTCAATAACCTTGAGATTTTTAGTTTCCTTTTAGCCAACACACCTTCAGTTTGGAAAAACAGCACTGTGAAGGCAATTGGCGAACATCTTCAATTTGGATAAACAGCACTGTCACCGTAGAATCAGCCAATCGTGAAGCACTTTCAGTTTGGATAAACAGCACTGCGTCGAGGCCGATTGGTTATCTATCCAAGCCTCGGTCGAGAAAGATTTTTGAATCCTTATTAGCAGAGGTCATCTCATTAGCCTTCTCATCGAAGTGAGGTGTTACAATTTATTAAGGCTCGGCATATCGAATGCCGAGTTGTTTTATGATTGGATATTCACAATTAGGCTTTAGAGTTCGGCATTCTGATGGCCGAACCACGTTTACCATCAAGACATATATCTGTTTTGAGTATCTGTGTCCCTATACTCTGGTGTTGATTCAGCGTGCTTATACTCTTACAAATACAATCACTGTGACCGAATCCAGCGTCAACAATTTGTGAACTTCGCATAACTAGTAGCCTTGTCTTCAGGCTCTAGAACTCGAAGGCCAAGAATGTTCCTTCCTCGGTTGATATCACAAGATCGAGAAGTCATCAGCGTATTCGACGCAACATCAACATATTTTACTCCTCGACTGAGCTCGTCCGACAAGTTGGCACGCTCGCATACAACCGAATGACATAGTTAGCTTATTAGTTACTCGGCCTGCGTGCCATGCAAGCTTGGTAGTTTTTAGGGTCAACACCTTCAAACTCAAAATTCCAAATTCCTCAATTCCGCAGCTAGTTATACACTGACGATGCTAGAGAAATATAAAAAAAAAAATGCATCTGCAGATGATCTGCTGTATTAAAAAAAATTGCAGTTCTTCTCGCACATAATACACCACAAAAGTTTTGCATTTCCACTTTGGTATGGAATTTGGAAGTAATCATCGACAATTAGTAGACTTTTATATAGAAGGATTTAAAGGTGTTGGAATTTGGAGTGGTTCTGGATGTGGGGTTTATATTGAAGGAATGGACGGTTCGACGGCGCGACGGGGGGAGCGACTTGATTGGTACAAGGGTTTCACGGGGAAGAAGAACCTTTTTTATTTTTAGCTACCCTTAAAAGAACTCAAACTTAATCTTTATTTGCTTGTTGTAACTCAAAAGCTGCCGCTTTAATCTCTGAAACTCAAAACTCGCTTCAATTTGCATCTTGGAACTCGAATTTGATCCCATTTTGTCCTGAAACTTGAAAAGTCATCTCTACAAAACTCAAAAATCATTCCACATTATCTTAAATATGTTAATCTCTTATATGAGTTTAATTTGGGTGCACCATGCTAATCAATTTATTTATTTATTTATTTTTCAACTCTTCAATTTCTTTTAAATTTAATACTCTCTGACTATTAAATATTAACACATAATAGAGATCCATAATCAAATTTGATTGCACATGTGACATGACACACCCCGACCTCGATCGAGGCACGCTGGCCGTCACGTGAGAGTGAGTAACCATGTGCACAGTGTGAAAGCAATAGAGATTTAAGGAATTACGGATAATAAAAACCAAATCAACTAGAGAACTAGCTATGATAGAGTGCTAGAGAGATATTAAGTGTGAATTACACAACCAGAGCATAAACATCCTAAGTGCAGTCAAGCAGGACAAGTACTGATTATTCACCATCCAAAGGTGATCCTACATTAATGATATTCTTTCAGAACCACCGTGGAAATCCTCGTGATCCACAAAGCACTTCTACCTAAAACCTGGAGGGGCGCAAAACAGAAAGTGTGAGTGGGCAAAAACAAAACTTTTCAAAATCATTTAATTTCTCAAAAGTTCTAACCCCTTGCCGTAAAACCTGTATAATTTCCCAAAAAATAATAGTAATAATAAGCTGTATTAGAAATCATACTTAAGATGAAAATCCATAAAAATATACCATGCCAAAGTATCTCAATGCAATACTATAAGTAATCCAAGCAAAAATATATAAATGTCAAATTTCGCATTAGCCAAATCTCTCTAACATAAACTGCACTGCTGAATATATAGCTCATAACCAATCTCAATCGTATCAAATCAAATCCTGCACACGAGTCAGAACCACCTAAAGTGGTATGTACAACAAGACTATGTGTAAAGTAAATATGCTCTAGTGCTACGATCACGTGAAGGCTGTGCGAATAATCGCAGGTCACCTAAGAGTCAGAACCACCTAAGGTGGTATGTACAACAAGCCTGTGCACCTAACTTGGATCCAAGGTGACCATATGGTGCGGGAGGTGAACATTATGTGAAGGACTGTGCCCTAATTCTAGGAAGGAGCACTAACACCAAGGTGCAGGTTTATGAGCTCTCAATACATCACATCATATCTCACATAACTGAAGTAACCACATATCTTTAATTATGAACTTACCTGGCACTTACCTATGTGTCCGCAACACCAATCATAAATATATGCAACTACTAATGCATAATAAAATAGACATATACTTTGCACGGCATTTCAAAACGTATAATCATTCAAATTCATTTTCTGGGAAAAACTCAAGTATATAGGTATATACAGAAAACCAAAAGCCCATTCACTGATATGTCGAAGGGTCATAGCCCCAAACCTCGATTGATGGCGCTCATCCTCAAGATAGGTCTCACCTATATGCGAAATAACTGAATAAATGTTATTTAAAGCACATACACAAAACTAGGAAATAACTTCTCATACAAAGCTCAAATGGGGTATTTGAATATACCACCATGACCTTAGGAACATCCCCATATTTTTAGAAAATTTTTCCAACCTCCCACGCGCCGGCCAAGGCACGGCCAGATGCGTCCCCACCCGCGGCCAAACCCTAACTGAAGCTTAACTGCAGTTAGGAATATTCCATTAAATCTTAACAAAAGTTAACGGCGTTACTGAAGCCGTTAGAATATTCTTTCAGACTTGACGGAATATTCTTCTTCGTCTTCCTTGGATCGCCGGAGATCGTCGCCAGTGCCAGTTTTTGGAAAAACAATCAAACCTTCATATCTTCTTCGATTCTCAACCAAAATACACAAAATCTATACCAATTTGAAGCTTAGGATGAGAGGACCAAAACCTTACCACTTCCAAGCCTTGAAATCCATGGGATTTTGCCGAAGGAACCTCGATAATCTGGCCAAACTTAAAACTTGCCAAACTCAACTTCTCGACGTCCAATTCACTTAGTTTTTCTTCTCCGAGCTCCATGAAGATGTCCTAAAGCTCACTAGCAACTTAAAATCTTCTAAAAACTTCAAAATCACAACTGCATGAACAATGCTCAAATCGGAGATTATGGTTTTTCGGGATTTTCACGTCTAACCATCACTACCATTCGACTCCTAAGCTTTCAAGGAGTCTAAAAACATCGATCACAACCTCGATCTATGACGTTTGAAATGGTTTTGAGGGTTTTTCGTACATGTTGTACGAAAATGGCAAGAAATTCGAGGGAGGGAGGAGAGAGAGAAGTCAACGGGAGTGGTGTGTGTGAGTGTGAGTGTGAGTGTGTGGTCCAATTTTGGGCTACTAACAACCACAAAACCATAATTTTTAAGTTCTAAAAACTTAGGAACTAAGTAGATTAGTATAACACCCAAACTCAAACCACAATACTACTACACCATATACTCAACATCCAAGGGTATTCTAGTCAATTCACACCATCGAAAAATATATTTCGTGATGGGCTGTCACATGACATGTCTTATATGGTGTTGGATATGTTTTAGGAGGCTCCCTATATGTTTCATGTAAAAGAGAGAGTTCACAATTCAAAGTGGAGTGAATTTTGAGTTTCAGAGAATAAAATTGTGACTTTTGAATTACAAGAGGCAATGTGAGATCAAAATAGAGTTTCATGAAACGTAGCTAAAAATAAGCCTGTTAGTTATACAAAAATAAAAATTGGCTTTTATTATTTAAAGATTTTTAATTAATTAGACTTGTAGGACTCAATTATGTACCACATCACCACAAACAAAAATTTTGACAAAATTGTGACAGAAGTACCACATTGATTTGCGACATTTATTTTTGAAGACTATATTGATTGTACATTGAATCAATTTTAAATTTTAAAAACCATCTTGATAGGGTGAGTCAATTTCCAATTTTCAACGACCGATTGTGATAAAAACTCTTCTTTTGCTTCCTAAAAAATGGAAACCTCATAGCTTTGGCTTCTTTATATATATATATATATATATATATATATGACCCCTTTGCTCTACAAACTCATCAAGCTCTCAAATGGAAGGCCATCATCTTATTCCTTTAGTACTACTATTAGCTCTGCTTACTCTCCAATTATGCAGTGCTAATGAGCTTCCCAGCAAATCCAACACTCAGTAAAAAGATCTTGCAGCGTCACAACTTATCCGAAATTGTGCTACAACTCGCTCTCAATCTACGCCGGAAAAATCTAGCACAAACTGCTCTCAATGTGACCATTGCAGCAACCCAAGAAACATATGTGATCATGAAAAGGTTGTCGAAAACCCACGGTTTGAATCCCATAGAGGCAGCAGCGCTCGACTGTGTGGAGGAGAGTGGAGATGCTGTTGACGAGGTCCAAAAATCGATCGATGAACTTGGTCATGTAGCTAGAGGATCAAATTTCTGGGTTCAAATGAGTGACATTCAAACATGGGTTAGTGCTGCATTAACAGATGAGGACACCTGCATGGATGCCTTTGATGAACATCACATGAGTGGAAGAGTGGAGAGTCTTGTCCCTAGGTACATAGTGAACGTTGCACATCTTACTAGCAATGCTTTGGCACTCATCAACAGGTATGCTTCCGTGTCGAATGAAGCCGTAGATTCTGAGTGGTTCTCAGGAAAGGTATGACGGTCGTAGAAAATAAATTCTACGACCGAAACGGGTTACTTGGTACTCAAGAAAGAAAGAAAAAACCCAATATTTGGTAAGTGAGAAATTGCTTTTGGTTTTTGTGTGTGAGTGAGTGTTATAGTAAAGAAGCCCAACTCTGTTTTTTATGATTTTTTTTTATTTTTTATTTTTGGTTGGGAGTATGAAATATTGGAATGTAAATAGCCAGATGTATACTACGCCAAGATGAATATCAAGCCATAATTATTTTATAGGTCTTTCTTCTTTTTTTATTTATATATTTAATTGTATTTTTATTTATATATTTTAGTTGTATTTTTATAGACATAGTGCAATAAAGAAACCCAATTAGAAGAATTTACACATGAAAGAAAACATAATAATATAGTGTGTGTGTGTGTGTGTGTGTATTTTAAATACAGATTATTAAAATAAGTTTATTGCAACTCAATACCATTAGATGCGGATGAAGTTTTATTTAAATTCAATGTCATGTAATGCTACCGTTTTTGAATAATTTGTAGTGGAATCGGTATTTAATAACTCCTCCCGGCCCATGATGGCATTGACTAACTGTTCCTGGTTTGATTCTTATGATCTGAGGGAGTGGATTTAGCAGTTATTCACAGATTGTTTCCTTGTATGCTGTTTTTCCAATTTCTGTTTCTTCTGTTAGTCAGTCTTCTGTTCCTTAGCAGTGGTGCTGCTTGGATCTCTCTCTCTCTCTCTCTCTCTCTCTCTCTACAAGACTCCCGTATCAACTCAAACCAAAAGGGCACAGGAGAGGGAGTGAAATGGAAGGTTATCTTCTGCATGCAGTAGTGGCTCTGTCCATTCTCCAATTATTCAACATTATTTCCTCCAACAGAAACAAACACCGACTACATAAAAACATCATGCAAAGTCGCAATGTATCCTAGGTTGTGCTACAACTCCCTCTCAATCTCCGCTGGCAAAATCCAGACCAACCCAAAAGAACTAGTTCATACCTCTCTCAACGTCACCCTTGCGTTCACCCAAGCAACTTCTGTGACCATGAAAAGGTCATTGAAATATACAGTTTGAACCACAACGCATCTGCAGCTTTGGTTGACTGCGCGGAGGAGCTTGGTGACACGGTCGAGATGCTCCAACAGTCGATAGAAGAACTGGGTCGTGTAGATGGAGCCTCCAGCTCCAGGTTTCAGTTGAGTAATATCCAAACCTGGGTTAGTGCGGCATTTACGAACGAGGATACCTGTGAGGATGGCTTTGCCAATCTTCCTTTGAATGGCAAAGTGGAGACTACTGCTCACAGGCACGTAACAAAAGCTGCGCATCTGACAAGCAATGCCTTGGCACTCGTCAACGCCTATGCCTCAGCTAAAACTGCCTCGCCTTAGATCAAACAATGACAAGGGCATGCCAATAAATAGAAATTAACTGCTGTGTTCTATTAATAATTCATATGAATATTGTAGAATTTTAATAAATAAAACCTGTAATGACGTAAATGGCAACAGATTGTTGGTAACAGATTTTTACCAACAATCGAATTCTTTACAACTATTTAACCATGGTATGTCGGAAAACATAATAATGGTTTATGAGTTTGAAAGGACCTTAGTCAGGGTGCTCTGCAGAGATGCAACCGAATCTATAGCAGATTTTGTGAGCCAGCTGATTCCTACTTTAAGCCTATGCTCATCCGTTGGTAATCTAATCAAGTAAGCTAATTTCCTTGCCGTATGGCCGATAGGACCTTCTAAAGTTAGCCCCTCAATGAAACTTGGAGAAATAGCAGCATCATTTCTTCCCAGAGTTATCATTTCACCTAAATTCTGAAACTTAAACGGCAAAAGAGGGCGGTCATTGATTGCAGCCCACAGATTCCAACCAGCAAAGTCTGCTTGCTGAAAAGCAACCTGTGCAGTGGCAGGAAGAAGCCTTCCATTTGATTCCCTTAGAGCACAAGAGTCACCAACTGCAAATATGCGTGGATGGCCTTTAACGCGAAGATTTTCATCTGTTTCTGCTTGTCCACGAGCATTTAGGGGAAGCTCATGGGGCCTGTCCTCGGGTTCCAGCTTAGGAAGAAGAGATTTGTTCCCAACAGTCCATAATACAAGATCTGCTTCCACAGTTTGACTTTGTGATCCCCTTTGAGCAGGTTGAAGTTCCAATATATATTTCTCGGAATCATGTTCTGCATCAACAGCTTTACGAATACAGCGGACAACATAACCCAACAGAAGTTCAACTTTTCTCGATGTGAGTACTTTAATTGCAGCTTCCCTATTGCCAGGCGGGGCATTCGGGCAGATTGTGGTTTCCACATTAATTGCTTGTACTATACCTCTATCCTGCAGTCTCTCTGATACAGTGGCAGCTAACTCAACTCCAGAGTAACCACAACCAACAACAACCACACGAATCAAAGATTCCTTACGGAAGTTCTTCCTCTCCAATGTTCTTAACTTACGATCAACCTTATGAGCATCCTCCAGGGTGGAGAATGGCAATGCAAATTCTACTGCTCCTGGTACAACATCAAGCTTTGATTCAGCTCCCAAAGCAAGAACCAGCCAGTCGTATTCAACAAGGAGTCCACTCTCAAGTAGCACAGTTCCCCCAAGGCTGGATTGTGTAGGTCCATAATGGTCAGAGGGATATAATAGTTTGGCCTTATCTTGATAGAACGGCACACTTGTATTTGCCAGTAAGTCTAAGAAACGAGGAGCTATCTCCCATGCATCTACTTCTCCTGTAAGAAGCTCATACAGCATTGGCTTGAAAACAAAGCGTTCGGACTGGTCAACAAGGAGGACCTGAGGTTTCTTGTCATCAGGCCACTCCAAGGATTCTAGTCGTAATGCAGTATATAGACCTCCGAATCCACCACCTAGTATACATATTCTTGGTTTCTTCTTATCCGGCCAAGAATACAATTGAGGTGCAGTTTCAGCTTCAGATAAATCCTTAACACTACCATTCGACCCAGGCGCACTGGAAGCAATCGCAAATCGAAATCCTTTCTGTTGAGAACTGGCAGATAATGTTATCTTGGTCCCACATTTTCTCAAGAAACTAGGAAACAGCCCAGCACAGTGCTTTGCCCTACAATTGAATGGTAAAAGACTTGATGAAGCAGCTAATGCGGGCGATGACATCATTCGGGGTTTATCTGTATATATCAAAAAAGAGAGGAGCCAACTGAAACTTCACATTTCCTATTGGCGTAATTTTATAAACAAAAGATCCACTGACATCTCTATAGAATATCAAAGCACACACACACACACACAAACTTATACAATCATGAACATGAAATCCTTCGTTCTGCAAAAGGAAACAATAATGCCCCATCTGATAACCAACAACAACAACAACAACAAAGCCTTTTCCCATCTGATAACCATTTCATTTTTTTACTTTGGTTTTCAATTCTTGTGCTTTAAATATGTGAAAGTATATAAAGAAGGGATGACGAAGGGCATTACTATTGGCCAGTCTTGAGAGCGAAAACAACTTAAAATAGTTTTTGGTTTTCTTTTCGTTTTTAGTTTCCAATTCGTGAATCCTCCCTTATAAATTTCTTACATTTCTCCCAAAATCCCTCATCCCTTCTCCTATGTCCCCTATTTCTCCCATGTATCTACCTTCTATCTCTAACACAAAAAAACAACAAACTAAGAACGAAATGGTCATCAAACGGGCGCTAAATTGTCAGATTAAACAGTAAACAAGAACAAATGGGGTGAGCCAGGATCCAATTCCGAGTGGACTAAACCGAAAACCAATTCATCATACATCACCCAAATGCACCAGTCCACATTTACCTTAATAAAAGCAGAATTAGTAAATTAACATGCTATCAGTAAGAAATTAAACATAAACAGATAATTCACAAAATAATTATCAAATAAAAGCAAATGCACCCTAGTATTTTCAACATCAAATTTCAAATTAAACCAATATACAATATTTGTAGCAGAAAGGACACTGAAAAACCAGAAACTCAACAAACAAGAAAACTGTGGAAACAAATTTAAAAATAAGAAAAGAAAAAGGGAAATTGGAAAGTACCTTTTTGAGTGATGGGTTAAGTCATCACTGATAGGGAACTGAAGAGGCACATGAGCAAGTAGGTAGCTACTGGATAGACACCAACGAAGAAGAAGAAGAAGAAGAAGAAGAAGAAAAGTGCGTTTACGGGCTGGGCTTAGAGGTGAGATAGATTATGGGCTTGCTGGAACAACCCGAACCGACTATTATTTGTGAGGATGTAAATTTGAGATACGTGGCGGCTTGACGTCCCTTTTTATTCTTCATCACCAAAACTTTTACACAAAATTTTCTCTCCATTTTATTTATTTATTTATTTTTTTTTGGTTTTGTTTTGGGAGCAATTTGATTATGGTCACAACATTTTTTTTTTTTTTTGTCTAATGGTCACTACATATTTCAAAATTAGAAGTTTTCAAGGAGAGGCCACAGGAGAAATTTTATTTTAGGCAGAGAGGGAATTGTATTTATTGACCTTAATTCAAGAGGAGAATTGTTTCAATTAACCTATGCTAAAAAATGAAATGACGGTTAACCTATGTCGAGATATGAAATTATTGATGTAGATAAGTTTTTACAACAGTGATGGAAAATGTTAATGCTAGCATGGTGCAGGTTCGATCTTTTTCCTTAACATTTAACAAATTAATCTACTAATGCTATCGTATGTCAAAACAAAATATATGAAAATATTGGTTAACCTAAATTAAATTTTCTTTGTTCTTGATGGCCAAGATATATGAAATTACACCAATGCAATGGGAGGTTCCCTAGAGAGTCACTTCTATCATCATCAATGATGTTTGTGACTTGTCTCAGTCTTCAATCAATGATTGGAAGCACATTTTTAAGGAGACAAATTTTGTTGCAAATACTTTAGCTCATCTTGGTCTTTCCATTTCGAATCCTCATGTTTGAGATTTATGTTTACATGATGTGGCTCTACTTGCTTTTTAGTATGTTCTATTATGTGAAAAATTATACTTAGAGGAGTCTAAATGATTGATTTAGAGTGTCAACAATCCTATCTAAAGTCAAAATTATATTTGATATTATTCAACACATGTGTTATAATTTGAATGAATTCAATGCATCATATAAGTATTTTCACGTTGTATGTTATATGCACCTAATAACTTGCCCCAAAACATAATGCTCACGTACCAGTTACCACATGTTATAATCCTAATTTAATCCAAATTTCAGAATTCAAATGTGGAATTTAGGTAAATAATAAAAACATTTCTCAAGCTCCAGATTGATGCATGGAAAAATAGCCTCTTGGTTTTTCGTTATCCCCAACACTCCACGCTTCCACAACCCTTACCCCATCCATACGGATTTGGATTCCCCTCCGATTCTGATTGTGAGGATTCAAGGGATTAAGTCATCATAGCCGTTCACCACCCATTTTACGACTACAAATCTAAATTTTTAAATTTTATCTACATAGTATTATGATTTGTAGTCGTATAATGTGTGGTGGACGGCCATGATAACTCCTTGATCCCACGATGAGGAGGTTTCGGAGGAGATCCAAATCCCATCCATACAATACCATACGGGTCATATCACAATCAGATAGGGCGCCAACAACTCTCTCTCTCTCTCTCTCTCTCTCTGGGATAAGAAGAAACAATGGCTACAGAGTCAGTGAGAGTGTACAGTTTTAGCTTCAATGGAGGTTCTCAGACTCGGCCGGCCATGTCTCCCTCCCCAGCTCGCTTTCTCGGTCTTCGCCATCGACCCTCTTCTTCCCTCACTTCGTCTTCGCTTTCCCACTTCTTTGGGAATGTTCGTATCAGCTCCCACTCCTCAAGGCTCTCGAATTTGCGCCAGCAGAGCCGAAGAAACCTCTCTGTTTTTGCCATGGCCGCAGAGGGTAGTTTTCTCCTCCTGTTCTTTGTGCTCCTATTGTTTATCCGCCGCTTCCTTGCTGAATTATTGCTCTCTGAATTGTTGTGTGGATTCCCAAATTGTTCAATTTTTGGTTATTCAGTGAGATCTATGTGCATTTTGGTTCAGCCCTTATTTGAAATGAATCGATTTTAATATTTATAACAAAAAATAATTGATTTTTCTAATTGGGATGATTGTGCCTCTTTTTTTATTTAGGACTTTGATGTTCAAAGTTATTCTGGATAAGAAATCGATTTTTGCAGTCAATAGTTATCGTATACGGGTACTTGGGATCGAGTAGAGCATATAAACTTCACTAAACATTCACTGTGAATTTGCAACCACAGCAGAAGTAGCTTAGCTTTCTGTGTTCTTAATATACTCAACTTAATTCTGGTTTATTGGAATAAGGTAATCGAATGTTCTGTGGTATCGATGTCGTTGTCTAGAACACTTGTATTGATACGAATTCTATCTTTTGGCATGTTGATAAGTGATGTTGTTCTCGACAGTTCAAGGAGATAGCCTCTCCACGGCCATGTAGCTACTTTGTTGCCGGATGAAAACACAATGCTTCTTTGTCTTTCGAATGAAATCATATATAACTGAACGGTGCTCCATTTTAATGTATTTCTTCGGGGTTTCTTTAACTGGATATATAATTAAACCTAGAAACTCTTTATACTTGTTTCAGTTTACTAATAATATTGGTAGTAGTGTTTGTTTATCAGCTGATATAGCAGATATGTATTTATTCTATTTGTTTATTCATTGTGCCAGATGGAAAGCGTGCAGTAGCTTTAGAAGATTATCGCAACATAGGAATTATGGCTCACATAGATGCAGGGAAGACGACTACAACTGAAAGAATCTTGTTTTATACTGGAAGAAACTATAAAATAGGGGAGGTACATGAAGGAACAGCAACTATGGACTGGATGGAGCAGGAACAAGAAAGAGGCATTACCATAACTTCTGCTGCAACTACAACATTTTGGGACAATCACAGGATTAACATCATCGACACTCCTGGCCACGTTGACTTCACCCTTGAAGTGGAGCGGGCTCTAAGGGTGCTTGATGGTGCTATATGCTTGTTTGATAGTGTTGCTGGTGTGGAACCTCAATCTGAAACTGTGTGGAGGCAAGCTGATAGATATGGAGTGCCCAGGATTTGCTTTGTCAATAAAATGGATCGTCTTGGAGCAAACTTCTTCCGAACAAGAGACATGATAGTGACAAATTTGGGTGCCAAACCACTTGTACTTCAAATTCCAGTTGGTGCAGAAGATAATTTTAAAGGAGTTATTGATCTTGTGAAGATGAGAGCTATACTTTGGTCTGGAGAAGAGTTGGGTGCTAAATTTGTTTACGAGGAGATTCCATCTCATCTTCTGGAGCTGGCTCAAGAATACAGGGCTGAGATGATAGAAACCATAGTTGAGTTGGATGATCAAGCAATGGAGGGCTATCTAGAAGGAGTTGAACCTGATGAGGAAACCATTAAGAAATTAATTAGGAAGGGAACCATCGCAATTAGTTTTGTGCCAGTATTATGTGGTTCGGCTTTTAAAAATAAGGGGGTTCAACCATTGCTTGATGCAGTTGTGGATTATTTGCCTTCACCACTTGATGTGCCACCAATGAAGGGGACTGATGCAGACAACCCTGAAATCACGATTGAAAGGGCTGCAAGTGATGAGGAACCATTTGCTGGGCTAGCATTCAAGATCATGAGTGATCCATTTGTGGGATCCCTTACATTTGTGAGAATCTATGCAGGAAAGCTAACGGCTGGATCCTATGTTTTAAATGCAAACAAGGGAAAGAAGGAGAGGATTGGTAGACTTCTAGAAATGCATGCAAACAGTAGGGAGGATGTAAAGGTAGCTTTAGCTGGTGATATCGTTGCACTTGCAGGCCTGAAGGATACCATTACCGGTGAAACATTGAGTGACCCCGATCATCCTATAGTGCTTGAACGAATGGACTTCCCTGATCCTGTAATTAAGGTTGCCATTGAACCCAAAACTAAAGCTGATGTTGATAAGATGGGAGCTGGTTTGGTTAAGCTTGCTCAAGAAGACCCTTCTTTCCACTTCTCTCGGGATGAAGAGATCAACCAGACAGTGATTGAAGGAATGGGAGAATTGCATCTTGAGATTATTGTTGATCGGCTCAAGAGAGAATTCAAGGTCTGTGTACTACTCCATGTTTCTCATTGTCCATATTACTTATGATCCTTGCCTTCACCATAAAAGATTCGGAGTGTTTTTTCTTTGTTTGTGCGTTTTTTTGTATTGCCATAGTGTCATCTTCTGGATTATTAATCTCACCCATGTTTGTGCTTGTATCTTATGTACAAATATACACGTATATGCATATAAAAGGACTGTGCACCTACCTATGAACTTAACCATTTGAAATGTGTTAATTGTTATTCCTTTGAGAATTTTCAAAGAATTGAATGCTCCGGATATGTAGTTGATTTGGATTTTCATAGCTGGGATTGCTTGATCTGTGCAGGTTGAAGCAAATGTTGGTGCACCCCAGGTAAACTACCGGGAAAGCATTTCGAGAACCTCCGAAGTGAGGTATGTGCACAAGAAACAATCAGGTGGACAAGGTCAATTTGCAGATGTCACCGTACGGTTTGAACCAATGGAGGCTGGCGGTGGATATGAGTTTAAGAGTGAAATCAAGGGAGGTGCAGTGCCAAGAGAATACATTCCTGGGGTCATGAAAGGATTAGAGGAGTGTATGAGCAACGGTGTGCTCGCAGGCTTTCCTGTTGTTGATGTACGCGCTGTACTAGTTGATGGTTCTTACCATGATGTCGACTCAAGTGTGTTAGCATTTCAATTGGCAGCAAGAGGAGCTTTCCGGGAGGGGATAAAGAAAGCTGCCCCGAAAATGCTTGAACCAATAATGAAAGTTGAAGTTGTTACACCAGAAGAACATCTCGGAGATGTGATTGGTGATCTTAACTCGAGGAGAGGACAGATCAACAGCTTCAATGACAAACCTGGTGGTCTCAAGGTACGTCTAAGGATTTATAACGTAACCGATACTTATGATTGCAGCTAGCAAGCGTGTGTTGTTAATTACATTCGAATCTTGACAAAGTATTATACAGTGGTAATCATGTTTCGGTTACTAATAGAGCGTTTCGGTATTAATCCAGGTGGTGGATTCACTGGTTCCTCTTGCGGAGATGTTTCAGTACGTGAGTACGCTGAGGGGCATGACGAAAGGTCGTGCATCGTATACAATGCAGTTAGCTAAGTTTGACGTTGTTCCTCAGCACATTCAGAACCAGCTTGCTGCCAAGGAGGAAGAAGTTGCTGCTTGATTTTGTTTCCATGTATGGTCAGATCAGAGGGACCTTATAATTTAAATCCCAACTCATTATTTGAGAAAAACCCTTTTTTTTTTTTTTTTTTTATTGACTCTGCATCAAAAAATATTGAAGTATTGATATTTCCTTTTAAAAAAAGAAAAAAAAAAGGGACACCGCATGTAAGCTCAACAAAACCACGAGTCCTGCCTTGCTCTTGTATTCCTACCACTTTTATTGCACACAGAATCAAAATGCATAATTAAATTCCGATTATAGGATACTTTAATGTTTATTAAAAATATTGGAAATCAAAATGTTAAAATTGCCCTTCACATTTACCGCATACCAGCAAATGCTGCCAAGTTTAATGTGAAGTTCAACAATAATAATTAAATAAAACTAAATCATTAAATTTCAGTTAATACTTGTTGAAGGGCGGAATTTAACTTTATTTTTTATCAATTAGTATATAAATTTTAAACAAAGCATTAGTATATAAATAATTTATTTCAACTAAGAGCATTTTAGTAATTATATTGATTTCCATTTCGATAAAATTTAAGATTAAGTACCTAAAACTCTCGAACCTTTTAGTGTTATTTCAAATTGGTCTCAACCTTTTTAAACATTCCAAACAAGTACCAAATCTATTGAAAATGTCGCATCTCTTAAGCCTCAATTAACTTTATGTTAAATTAATTAAGGTTAACTTTGTCTCCAACACCAATAGAAAGTCATACAAGCATGGCTTTCACCAAGTAACAGTCACTATCATCCCCCTTCATGCCATCATCTCTAAACTCAACGCATAATCACAAACTCCACCCCTATAACTCAAGCTGCTAACATCGAGAAGGTCATGGAGGTTACTGAAATGATAGGGACTACCATGACACGGCCACTACCATTTTCACCGCTCACAAAGAAGAACTAAAAGCTTTACTAGCCGAAAATCAACGAATGAGGAAACCGCATTAGCATGAACAAGTTCCTTAAAACTCTATCTGAATTCTTAACTCACGTTTTTATTAGGAGATTTTCCAATCCCCATTTTTGTTTTTTGTTTTTTGTTTTTATTTTTTTGTGAATATATTTATTTATTTTTATTTTTTCATCATTATGTCATTTTTGAAGTTATCTTCATTATTATTTTAGTATCCAAAGTAACCAAGTGAAACCCATTATTGTCACCTGTACATTAATGAAAAAATTAACTCCAAATTAACAAATTTGACATTTTCAATAAGTTGGATACTTATTTGAAATGTAAAAGATTAAAATCAATTTAAAATAACACATAGATTAGAGAGTTTTAAATACTTAATCCTAAATTTATTTAGTTTACAAAATGTTTTAATAAACACCTTCAACAAGAACCTTCAACAAGAATTCAATTCTGACCTCTCCATTCTAACTTCTATCAATTCAATTCTTATTTTGATGATGGATTAATAAACGAACCAACATAAACTAAAAGCAAAAGATTTTCTACACAATTTTGTAAATCAAATCCAAATCGTGTAATTTGAGTGGAATAGTAAACTTGACAGGGACATCTTTCGGGAGAGAAGAGGGTTTTTGGGGGGGGGGGGGGGAGGTTGGCATATGAAAAACATCCACATAAATATCTTAAAAACAATAATCTCAAAAAAATTCCAAAGCGAGGGGGTTCTAATCTAATTACTGGAATGGACCAAAAGAAAGTTACTGGACTGGACATTTTGATTGGAAAGTACAATTTGAACGCCAAACGATTCTTTCTGATTACATGATCAAATCTTTCCCGTTGTTTACCGAAGCTGGACAATTCCCGCACTGACGAGCTTCTGGATCTTGCTCATCACCATTGGGTTCTTCGTGTGTTCCTGAGCAGCCTTGGGATTCTCCTGGAAATCGGTTAACACCTGAACACATCCCGAACAACACAACTTTAGACATTCATACACCGCATAAACTCAATTAACAAGGGAATGGTGTAACACAACAGCGAAACACTAAATTATACTGACCTGTCTCATAACAGGATCTTGGAGAATATTTTGAATTTCTGGGTCCTGCATTCCTTTAGCCTGCAAGAAACAACAAACTCATTAACATATGACAATCTCGAGAAACTATTTCCGCGTTGAAGAATGTTTGCCAAGTCACACACCTGTCTCTCCTTCAATTCCTCGGGAGTCAAATCCCCACGGCTAGCTTTGTTAATTTGCTCTACGCATCTGCAATCAATTTCAAGTGGTGTCAACTCTCAAGCATTATGCATCTTGTGTAACAGGCGCACATCCAGTTAACATACAGTAAAACTAAGCACCACGCAATAAACACAATTCATGTAAACATACCTTCGCACACCATCAAGCAATTCCTGGTTGCTAGGATCGTGTTTCAAACCCTCCTGGTATGTTTCCAAAGCTTTCTCATATTCTTTCATGAAAAACTGGACGGCACCTTTTCTGGTATAACCCTTTGTAAAGGTTGGATCAAGCTCGATGCACTTCTCTGCATCTTTCAATCCCTCGGGCATTGCCCCGAGTTTTGTATAGCATGCAGCTCTGTTGCTATATGCCTGAATCAAACCATGAAATGTCAGACAATATTAAAATGCATTTGGACGATCAACTATATAAGGACACTGGAGGTTCTCCCACCTTTGGATCCTTGGGGTTCCTTCTGAGAGCTTCAGTGTACTGCTTAATAGCCTCTGGGTACTTTTGTTGCTTGAAATATTCATTACCTACACATCATCGACAAGCAGTCAAGCTAGAGAAACATGGACGGCATAACTAAATTACATGGCACGGAAACACTGTATTTCATTCAGATCAATGCAAACATTAGTAAGTTTCAATGCAGTCAAAAGTTATAAGCACATGAAACTGAAGAACAAACCTTTCTCACGCTCTTCATCGGCTAACTTTGGATCATAATACTCTTGTTGCTCTAGATCCTTCTTTGCTTTCTCAGCTTCGTTCAATTTCCTTAAGGTATCTGGGTTGCGGTGCTCTGTGAGAGCTTTCTGGAACGACTCAATGGCAGGTTCAAAGTCCTTCGAGCATTTTGCCATCTTCACCAAGGCGGTTCCCTTCCTAGTCAAAGCTTTTGCCACCATCTTAAAGTCTGACCTTAGCTCTCTTCCCCTTTCCACAGCCTTCTCACAGTCTTTAATACACTCCTCATACTGATAGAATTAACAACAAACTGGGATCAATAATCCATAACAAGCCAAGTATCCACAAAGAGCACTAAATCATACTAACAGTACAAGCTTATAGTCTATACCATCAGTTAAGCACTAACCAAAATCAATCAGTGTGTAAACATTATCATGCAGCTTAAAAATAAATGGCGAACACTAGATATGCAATCCATACCTGACCCATTTCCAAATACGTCGCTGCACGATTCAAGATAAATGAAATGTCCTCATCATTCAACTCAATAGCCTTGGTGTAGTGCTGAATCGCTGTGTCGAAGTCCTTCTGCTATAAGCCGCATTGCCAGCCTCCTTCTCCTTTATTGCCTCGGCCTTCCTCTTCTTCGCCTCACTCTCCTCCTCACTCACCTCCATCGGCTCCGGCTCTGGCTCCGGCTGATGCTCCGGCTTCTTCTCCTCCTTCCAGGGCTCAGGCTGCTTCCGCTCCGGCGGAGACTCCGGCACCTCCTCATCCTCCGCCCCCGTCCCACCGCGCAACTTCACGTTAAGCAAAACCCCCAGGGCTTGCATAACCCTCTGGTCCTTCAAATACAAATTGAGATTGCTAGGGTTTTTCTGAATCTCCTGCATCATCTTCACAAAATCGGGTTGCTGCAAGAAGGCACGGGTCGACGGGTCGGCAGTGAGCTTGGCCCACATCTCGGGACCCGAGAACGCATCCCCAAACGGGTTCATAGGCGGGGGTCCAGCCCGTGACCGGGTCGCACCGGCTTGAGCGTCGGCTAAACCAGACTTCAGAGCCTCGTTATTGGGGTCGATCTCGAGACCCTTCTTGTAAGCCGAAACGGCGTCGTCGTACTGGCCCAATCCGCAGTGAGCGGCGCCGAGCCGGCTGTAACCTTTGGACCAATCAGGCTTAATCTCGACGGTCTTCTTGGCGTCGGCTAGGGCTTCAGAGTATTTGTTGAGAGAGGCATAGGCGGCGGATCGGTTGGAGTAGAGGACATGGTTGGAGGGAGCGAGGTCGATGGCTTCCGTGAAGTGGGTGACGGCGGCGTTGAAGTCGCCGGAGGAGAAAGCGGCGTTGCCTTTGGCTTTGGCTTCGTCGGCCATGGCTGCTTGGGATCAGAGAGAAAGTTGAGGGATTGCAGGTGTAGGGGATTGAGGAGGAGAAGGGGAGGCGAGCTTTATAAGATAGAAAACTGGTGTGTTAAGGGACCTGTCGCCAGAGGCTTCTAGTGAATGTGGGGTTTGATTGGGGTTCTGGAACCTTCGGTTGCGGTGATCTTATGGCTTCGCCTTTGGAAGCTCAAATAATATTACTTTCTTTTAAAGAGAACTATTATTTTTCTTTTTGTTTTTTGTTTTTTGTACTTGAAGAAATTACTAGAACAAATGGAGTGTTGGAAATAAAATATGAGGTTATAAATAGGCAAAAGTGAGAAGGAGAACATTTGTTAGAAATTGAAGTGGAAAAGGAGCAACGAATACAGGTAAAGAGAGAGGAGGCAGATTGATATTATCACTTTCACTTTTGATTTAGTATGTTGTGCTGAAAATACAAACATCCCTTTATATACAGAGGTATTGATCCGACAACACTTTACATGCATGAAAAAAAATTTATACTAAGATAGTGAAAATCAAACTTATACCATCTAAGTCTACAATCTTATCCTACAAACTTGACTAAGTTGACTTCAATTTCTTCCATTTTTAGTCCAATTATGTGTGCTTTCACATTTTTACAACACTCCCCCTTGAATGCTCATATCAATATCAGTTGCGTCATTAAAAACTTACTAGAAAAACCAAGTGTGATAAAACTGTAGCGAAGGAAAAAGAGTACAACTTTGCATATATTATTTGTCACAGCCCTTCCCATAGAAGTATATTATTTAATTATCGACGACGTGAAATTACCTTAAATACCCTTTGACATTGAGAATTATTATGGAGTGTTGTGGTTTTGACTTAAAGTTATGGACCTATTAGTTTTATTCCTCTATTATTGGAATTAGAACTAAGTGTTCTCTTAGT